TGTATGTGGCTGGCGCCTTAGCCACTTGAGCCATAGGCGCCAAGCCTTTAGCTGCATTTTATTATAAGTTTTGTTATAGCTGCTGTGGGGTAGGGAGTGTGGGGTGTGTGTGTGCATGCACATCTGTGTTTTAGAAGACCAAATAAGAATTTTCTAAGCTTTAAGTTGAGTCTAGGTCTCTAGGTTTTAGGTAAATCTGACAAAAAATTAGAACAGGTGGTTGATTTTATATATTACAAGTTATCTTGTGAGGTTCCTTTCAGAACTTGAGGACATAAGAAATCCATGACTGATGGATCTGTGATCACTTCTCTGTTAGGCACAGAGCAGATGCCCCACAGACAACTGCTGGGGAAGTAAATATAGTAAGTCCTAGGTAACAGTAATTAATACATAACAGTTATTATTACTGTTGTTGTTATTACTATTTCAGCAGTGGCTCAAGTATCTACCAATTTGAATTTCTCTGGTTTGGGGATAGGTCATTTAGCAATAGGTCTGGGGTAACAGGGTGTTATGGTGGGCTCCTATAGTCCCAGCTACTTGGGAGGCTGAGGCAAGAGAACTGCTTAAGCCCAAGAGCTGGAGGTTGCTGTGAGCTGTGATGCCATGACACTCTACCCAGGGCAACATAATGAGACTCTTGTCTCAAAAAAAAAGAAAAAAGAAATTGGTCTTGGGTTTAACTTAGAGCTAATATTTGGGAATCCTATAATTTTTTTTCAATTATTGGGAAATCTTTTTTTCTAATTAGCATTTTAAGTATGTTGAAAACTGAGAAACCATAAAAAGTAGAATTTTAAGATAGAGAAAATAGATTTTGGGCAAAACCAAAAGCAAAGAGACAGTTCAACAAGTGTGATGTTTTTTTTTTAGCAAAATGACTAGTAGAAGATTGTTTCAATACAGACTCCTGCTTCTAACAACCAGTATAAATCCATATGTAGCTGCATAACATTGCTGAATTTAGAACGAAGTGAGAAGATTCTGAACTCCTTTCAACTTTTTTACCAACTGTAAAAAATCTACCAAGAGCTTCTTTAGGACAGGGTGTGTCTTCTTGTATTGTTATATGTCAAGAAAGAGAAATCAGCACAGGAGAATTCCCAGGTGAAATGTGGAGCAATGATCATCTATGAACCATCAGTTAGCCAATCAGCTTGGAAACCCAAACACAGTTTTCATAAAAGACAGATTACAAAAGAAAACTCAAGTGAATAAATTATACCTTGATGACTATGACTTTAAATATTTTTTATTTTTTGCAGTTTTTTTGGCCAGGGCTGGGTTTGAACCCAGCACCTCCAGCATATGGGGCCACTGCCCAACTTTAAATAATTTTTAAAATACATATGCACATACCATGTCAAATTATGTCCATAGGAGCACAGCTCTATCAGATTTAAGAGTCTTTAATAACAACTTTTGTGTCAAAACTTCCAATTTTATTTGTTTGTTTGTTTTTTGAGACAGAGTCTCACTCTGTCACTCAGGCTGGAGTACAGTGGCATCAGCCTAGTTCATAGCAACCTCAAACTCCTGGGCTCAAGCAATTATCCTGCCTCAGCCTCCCACGTAACTGGGACTAGGGGCACCTGCCTCCACATCTGGCTAATTTTTCTATGAGATGGCATCTTGTTCTTTCTGAGGCTGGTCTAGAACTTCTGTGCTAAAGGGATCCTCCTGCCTCGGCCTCCCAGAGTGCTATAGACATCAGCCACCATGTGCAGCCACACTACTTTCAATCAATAAATCCCCATCTAGCCAGCTCATTTCTCCCTCTCTTCTGTACCTCCCTGCGGAGAGTTCAAATTTGTATTTACCTCTGCTCAAAGCTGTTTTTTGAGTTTTGCTCCCCTGCCTGGAGAAGGCTGAGGCCATCTGAGACCTCCAAAGGCTCTTTTTGGTCATCAACTTCATTTCTGAGGCTCAGTTCCTTTTCCTTCTTTTTCTCCATCTGCTTCTGTAAACGTTTGTGCTGCATCTCCTGCATGGCCTTGAACTGGAGTCGCAGAGTGTCCTGGGAGCCATCATCCGTTGCCATTTTGCCCTAGGAGTCAGAAAAGCAGTCTGGGCTGGAGTGAACTCCACAGGGAGCACTTAGCACAGTCAGCCCTGTCTGCAACCCTCAACCCCTGAGTTTACTGCCTAGCTTTACACTGTGTCCAGGAAGAGCCTTGGGAACCCCATCCTCATCTCAAATCATTTGAAAGCCAAAGCTGAGCTGAGCGTCCTCTACCAGTCCTGAACGTGCCACTAGCCTGCATATGGCATCAGAATATTCTCCATTACTCAGACTCAACACCTGACCCTTGCCTGTCCCTTAAATCAGTGGTTCTCAACTATGGCTAAACAGAACTGCCTAAGAACTTCTACAATATAATAATGCCTGGCCCTACCCCCAGACCCAACTAAATCCCAATTTCTAGGAATGATGCTTGGACATCATTAACTTCTTTTTCTTTTTAAATTGAGGTATACTTTACATACAGTAAAGTGCATAAATCCTGAGCAGACAAGTTAATGTGGTGACAGTGCAGATCAAGGTATAGGGTACTTCCAGCCCGTGAGCAGGCTACTTTGTACCTTCGCCAGTGAATTACCCCCAAGGTAACCATTACTCTGACCTCTGCCACTGAAGATGTGTTACCTGATTTCTTTTTAATCAGTTCTACTGAAGTGTAATTTATGTACAATAAAATACACCCTATGTGTACAAATGAGTTTTTACAAATATATTCACCTGTGTAAACCCCTACAACATCATGAAATAACATTTTCATCACCCAAAAAGCTCCCCGTGCCCCTTTGCAGTCAATCTCCCAGTCAGTCCCAATGCTAGGCAAACTCCTCTGTTTTTATTACAATTTTGCCTTTTCTAGAATTTCATGTAACTGGAAATCATATAGTAGGTAGTCTTGTGTCTGGAGCTTTTTGTCCAAAACTAGCTTTTGGAGGTTCATCCATGCTGCATGTTTTGCTAGCTCATTCCCTTTTATCTCTGGGTAATATTACTCCATACCAATAAAGCACAATTTGCTTATACAGCCACCTGTTAGGTTTAGTGATTATGAATAAAGTCATTATGAACATGCATGTATAAGAAAATATTTGTGTGGATGTATGTTTTAATTTCTCTTGGGTAAATACCTAGAAGTGAAAATGCTTGGTTATATGGTAAATCTAAGTTTAACTTTGTAAGAAATTGCTAACCTGTTCTCCAGAGTAGCTGTAACATTTTACATTCCTACCAGTGCATCAGAGTCTTAGTTTTTCTATCCTTGTCAAGAGATAGTATGGTCAGTCTAAATTGTAGTCTTTCTCACTGGTATGTTATAGTATCTCAATGTGATTTTTTGTTTTTGTTTTTTTTTTTTTTGAGACAGGGTCATCCCTGGCTAGAGTACAATCATGCAATCACAGCTCACAGTAACTCCAAACTCCTGGACTCAAGCAATCCTCCTGCCTCAGTTCCTGAGTGGCTGGGACCGTAGGCACACATTACTATGCCTGGCTAATTATCAATTTTTTGTGAGATGGGATCTTGCTATGTTACTCAGGTTGGTCTCAAACTCTTGGCTTCAATTTATCCTCTCCCCTTGCTCTCCTAAAACACTAGGATTATAGCTGTGAGCCAGCATATGCCCACCTTAATGTGGTTTTAATTTGCATTTCTCTGCTGACTAGTTATGTTGAGCATCTCTTTATGTGTTTAGTGGCCATTTGTATATCTTCTTTTGTGTCTATTCATATTTTTCCCCATTTTTTCATTGTATTATCTATCTCATTAGTGAGTGGTCAGAGCGCCTTATATATTTTTGATGTTTTGTCTGTTTGAATTTCACATAAATGGAATAACAGAGCACAGACAAGACTTTTTAAATGCTTCTCACGTGATTTTAAACAGTAGCCAGTGTTAAGGACCAGCCTCAAGCCGTATCATCCACCTGTCATCCAATTCATCCTAAATCTTATCCTCGAGTCTGTCCCCATACCACCTTTCCCACTGATATCACTCTCATTACTATGCTCACAACCACCTCAGGGCATTCGTATTGCTGTTGACTCTCCCCGGTATCTACCTCACTCCCTCTCAAGTGTCATTTTAGCAGAGGCCTTCCTCACACCCTACTGTAGAGTGCGTCCCTACCCTCATTCCTCATGCCCTTTTCCTGTTTTATCCTCTGTCACATCCAGTGTCACCTGATACATTATATATTTATTTGCTGACTTGCTGATTTCCTCTCTCCCTTCACACCAGCTTCACAATGGAAGGCACTGTGTGTTGCTCACTGCCACATCCTCAGTGCCTAGAACACATGGCCTGGAATGTCACAGAGGTGAAATGAAAACTTGGTGAACAAATGATGATTGTAATGTCCCCAGGACTTATCAAATAGGCTCCTACTGCCCTCACTCCCCTCCCCCTCCTCACGTCATGTGCAGTCCAGCCTGCACTCATGGAAGGCCTAGTTTCTCTGAGGCATGGCTCTGAGCCCAATAGCCCCTGTATAAAACCTTCAGCAGATGCCCATTAGTCACAAAATCAAGTCCAACAGCACTGATGGCTCTGGGAAACTTAGCCTTAGTCTCTAGTCTAGTCTGTTTTCTCTATTATAATACTGAGTTCTAGCTAATTGTATCAATTGCTCCTCTGTCCCTATACCTCCCGCTCCTCCAGGGCTTAAATCTTGCTGGTCCTCCCATACCCTGTCCTTTGTGACCCTCCAAGAAAGGCATTCTCCCTGCCCCGACACCCTCAGCTGCCCTATCTGTCCTCCCCACTCTACTTATCTCTATCTCACCCAGAGGGGTAGTCCCAGAACCACTGGGGTTTCATACCCAGTGGCTCTGAAACTTGTCAAAACATCAAATCCCAAGGGATAAAAATCTAAAAATACTGATGCCCAGGCCTCACCCCTAGAGAATTCAATTTAATTAGTCTGGGGGAGACATGAGGCATGGGGCTATTTAAGTGCTGCCCAGGTAGTTCTAATGCGCTGTGGACTGAGCAGGAGGTCAGGCAAAAGTCAAGCAAAAGTGGGAGCTGGTATTATGTTGAAACTCCTTACAACATGGCTCTGCCCACTAACTGGAATTGTAAAGAATTAACTCAGGAAGTCTGGGCTGTCCACACCCTGCACATTCCAAAGAAAGGTTTGGCACTTGACTGGCACAGAAGCCTCTAAGGTGACCTCTGAGCCCTTGGACTACTCCAGATAATCTATGCTAAAAATGTGATTCACTGTGGGGGGCCTTGAGTCCTCAGATGTGGTATCTATCAGCTTGACCTCTAGAGGGGCTGGAGGTTGGGTGACTAAGGTCAACCATGCCTATGCGGCCATTTCCTCATAACCACCCTGGACACCAAGGCTTGGGGAGCTTCCCTGGTTGGCAATACTCAGTGCATGTTGCCACACATTGTTTCTGGGAAAAGTAAGCACTGCCTGCAAGACTCCACTGCTTCCATGACAACTGGAAGCTTGTGCCTGGTATCTCCTGGACACAATTAGCTATGTGTCTCTTTCTTCGTTAATTTTGATCTGTATTATCGCATTGTAATAAACAGTAACTGTGACTACAATGGCTTTTCTGAGTTAAGCAAATCATCAAAACTGACTGACAGTGGTCTTATGGACGAACTCTCAAACTACAGGAACCCCCAGGACATTTCAAATGTGTAACAGCCATAGTCATCATGTCGGGGCCAAAAAGATGGGACATACAGGATATAATGTGACTTAATTGGACTAATGTTTTAAATTTAGGAAGGGGTCAGCAAACCTTTTTTGTAAAGGACCAGACAGTAAATATTTTAGGCTTTTGGGCCATCACTACTCCATGTGGTAAGGAGTAGTGATGATTTCTGTCATCACTACTGTACTTTACCACCATAGCAGAAAGAAGCCGAAGACAAATCATAAATGAATGAGTGTGGCCGTGTTACAATAAAACTTTATTATAAAAACAGGCAGTGAGCTGGCCTTAGACTGTGGGGCTTTAGTATGCTAACCCAATTGAGAGGAATTTCACCTGAAAAAGAGTCTAGAGATTGAAGGAAACCCTACTGAGTTTGTTAGTTGAAAGTGTAACTCTTTAATAATACAGTTTAAAAATAAATTTATCCTGAGGCAGTGCCTGTGCCTCAGTGAGTAGGGCACAGGTCCTATATACCAAGG